AGGTCAACCACCACCTGTTTTCTCCTCTTCCACCCAGCATGAGCTACAAAGTTGTGGGTAGCTGCTACTTGCGAAGGGTTTAGAAGTACCCAGGCAGGGCCAACTTGTGAACCAAGGCTGGCTACTGCTAGTGTCAGTCCACTGGGGCCACTTAGCAAGAGGTACAGAGCTTGCTGAGGCCAGATGCTGCTTGTTTGAGAGATTTTTAGGAAAATCTGAAGCATAAGCCATTTGTATGGAAAAGCCACTGGAAACAGCTTGAGTGGGCCTGAATATTGGGTTGGACAGGGCCTCAAGGAATCACCAGAGTAGGGCAATCAGTGTGAGCAAGGTTGATGGAGTCTCAGGTGACTCTGTTGGGTGGGGGAGTGCTCATCAAAGAAACAATAGCCTCTGCCATCACTTTTGTTTGGGAGAAAGCTGCCCCTCTTAACTCTTGCCCTGATGGTGGACAATATACTTCCTCCTTGTATGTTCCTGGTGCCTTTCAAGCTGCTATCCCCTTGCTGGAGCTCAGAGGGAGTGAATTCATATTAGTAGGTGTGCAGGCCCTTTAAGAGGAACTGCCTGGGACTCTAGAATCCTCCATTTCCCTCCGCCTCAATTCCTGCTGGTTTTTGCAGCCAGAATAATGGGGACTTCTCTTCCTGACACTGGGACCCTGGGCTGGGGGTCCTGGTGTGGGGCTGGACCCCTTGCTCCCCAAGGGTGACCTCTGCAGCTGAGATATTCCTCCTGATTTTTATCTACCACACGTGGGTATGGGACCAGCCCATTTTGCTTCTCCACCCCTTCTACCAATTTCAACATGGTTTCTTCTTTAATTCCATCCAACTTCATTTCAGATGGTTCTGAATGATGGTTTTTCTAGTTGTAATTTTGATGTGGTTGTGGGAGGAGGCTACACTGCCATCTTGAACAGATGTCTTGTCAGGTTTTCTAATTAAGATTATGTTGAACTCATAAAATGAGTTAAGAACATTTATTCCTTCCTCTAAACTTTGGAAGAGTTTGTTTAAGACTGGCATTATATCTTTCTTAAGCATTGGGTTGACTTTGTTGTTGAAGCCATCTGACCCTTAGTTTTCTTTGTGGAAGGATTATAACTTTGTATTTAGATTTCTTTAATAGTTATATGAATATGTAAATTTGTTTCAGCTTGATAAGTTTGATTCTGTTTCCCCATTTGATCTAAATTTTCACAATTTTGGCATAACTTTGCTTTTTATATTTTATATGTATTTGTGTGTGTGTGTTTGCCTCTTCTACTTTCTCTCTCTTTTTTTTATTAGTTTGCTAGGGGTTATCATTTAAAAAAATCTTTTCACAAAATGATTATTTGGCTTTGTTGATCCTTTTAGTTGTATGCTTTTTTCATGTTTTGTTAATTTCTTTTTAAGTTTTCTGTTATTTTTATACATTTTTAAAATAAACTCTAGGTATCTCTTTTCCTTCCTAATATATGCATTTAAGTCCCAAAGGCTTTAGGTGTATTCCACAAGATTGATAATTGTTATTTATTCAACTCAAAATTATTTTCTAATCTCCATTGTGAGTTCTTTAAGCTATATTCTTTATTTTCCAAACATTTGGGGATTGTCTGCTTATGTTTTTGTTATTACTAGTTTCTTGCATTGTGATCAAAGAGCATTCTATATGATTTCTGTCTATTTAACTATTTTAAAATTTGCCTTATGACCTTGCATGTCAACCTTGGTAAATATTTCATGTCATACTGGAGTGCTCCAAAGAATTTCAGAAAAAGTTTAGTCTATGTTTATAGACTACAGTAAACCCTTTGACTGCATCAATCATGAAAAACTCTGGGTCACTCTAAAAGAAATGGGCCTGCCTCAGTACTTGATTGTCCTGATGTGCAACCTGTATCATCGACAAGGAGCCTTTGAGAGGACAGACTATGTAGAAACAAAATGGTTTCCTATGGACAAAGGTGTCATACAAGAGTGCATTTTAACTCCCTATTTAATCTGTATGCAGAACATGTACAGAAATTTGGGCTAGACTCAGAGAAGGGAGGAGTGAAAATTGGCAGAAGAAATATCAATAACTTAAGATACGAAGATGACACCATCTTACTGGCAGAAAGTAGTGTTTTGAAATGACTTCTGACAAAAGTGAAAAAAGAAAGTGCCAAAGCAGGACTGCATTTAAACATCAAGAAGACAAAAATCAAAAAGTACATAGCTTTAACGTAGACCATGAAGACACTGAAATTATTAAAGATTTTGCTTACCTTGGCTCATTCATCAATTCAAATGGAGACTGCAGCCAAGAAATCAAGGAAGGCTGAGACTCGGAGGGGTAGCAATAAAAGAAGTAGGAAAGAGCACCAAGAGCAAAGATGTGTCATTAGAGACCAACGCTAAGGTCAGCCACATCCTTGTTCTATGAAGGAGTGTGAAAGTTGGACAGTGAAGAAGGCTGATAGGAAAAAAGTTGATTCATTTGAAATGTGATGTTGGAGGAGAGCTCTAGGGATATCCTGAACTGCCAGAAAGACAAATAAGTGAATCCCAGAGCAAATTAAGTCTGAAACTTTCCTGGAGGCAAAAATGACAGAACTGAAGTTGTCCTACTTCAGGCACATCATGAGATGGCAGGGTACTTTGGAAAAGACAATAATGCTGGAAAAAATAGAAGGCAGCAGGAAAAGAGGATGACCAAATATGAGATGGATTGACTCTGTAAAAGAAGAAATAGGCATTAGTCTATAGCAGCTGAGCAGGGCTGTTGAGAACAGGACATTGTGAATATCACTCATTCATAGAGTTGTCAGGAGTTAGAGATGACTCAATAGCACATAATACACAAACTTTAAATGAATCTATGTTTGCAGCAGTGTGCAGTGTTCATCAAATGTTCATTAGGTCAAGTTTACTAACGATGTTATTCAAATAGTGTATATCTTTACTGATTATTTTGTTATTACTGAGTTATTTCAAAACCTACCATTGTGCTTATGGATTTGTCTACCTTTTCTTGTATTCTTCTAATGATTACTCCAGAGATTACAACAGATATTCTTGATTTGTCAAAATCTAATGTAAATTAGTACTTTTATTTCCTCCTGGATAGCATAAGGGCCTTTGAATAATGTAACTGCACTTCTGCCCTTTCTAACTCACATACATCTGTTGTCATATCTTTAAATTCTTCTTTTATTGAATCCCAACAAAATATTTTATCATTGTTTTATAATGTTAATATGCATTTATTTTTCCTATGTATTTACTATTTTTGTTGCTTTTAGTTTTTCCCTACTACTGAAAAGCTACATAGAATTGGTTTTTGTTTTGTTTTGTTTTTGTGCCTAAAAACATTCTTTAGTTATTTTCTTTAGTGTGGCTCTTTTGGTGATGAATTGTCTCAGTTTTTGTTTGTCTGAAAATACCTTTATCTTCATTCTTGAATGATAATTTCACTAGTTATGAAACTAGATTGCTTTTGTTTTCTTCAGCACTTTGAAAGTATTCTGTTGTATAGCGTCTTTCATTGTTTTTGCAGCAAGGTCAGTTACTTGTTAAATTGTTGCTTTTTAGTAGGTCATTTGTTGTTTTTTTCCTTTGGATGCTTTTAAGATTTATTTTTAATGTCTTAAGACTTGAGCAGTTTTTATGAAGCACCTATTTTTGGATTTTAAAATGTTTGTTTATATTTTTGGCTTGATGTTCTTTGTGGATCTGGACTATATGGCTTTATTTATTTATTTATGTCAGTTTTTTAAAGTTTTTAGGTTTTATCTTTTCAGATACTCCTCCTGCACCATTCTTTCTCTTCTATCACTTGATATGCAGAGTGTAAGTATCCACACTTACGCTACAAATACTATTATCCTATAGCTTTGTTAATTCTCTCCTTTTTTTTTAGGAGAGAATTTATATAATTAATTTAATCAATTTATTTTTTAAATTTATATAATTTATTTTTTTAAGCAATCATAAGTTATTTTCCCTCTTATGAATATTTCATACTGTTCCCCTTGAATCATTAAAACAACGCTGCCAATATTATTTTTGCTGTTTTTACATATTTTTACAGTTATTCAAAAGGTTAACTAACTGGCCCAAATTCACGTAGCTGCCAAGCAACTAAAGTACAGTTGATTAACTGTTTCTTGCTCTTTTTTAAAAAAAAATTTTTTTTTTTTCTTTATTGGTTTTAGAGAGAGAGGAAGGGAGAGGGACAGAGAGAGATAGAAACATCAATGAGAGAGAGAACATCTATCAGCCGCCTCCTGCATGCCTCCCACCCCCACTGGGGATTTGTCCCACAGCCTGGGCATGTGCCCTGACCGGGAACTGAACCAGCGACCTCTCAGTGCATGGGTCAATGCTCAACCACTGAGCCATACCGGCAGGGCTCTTGCTCTTTATTATATGAGTATATATTTCCTTTTTTCCATGTCTGTTTTTCTCACTTAATTTTTGGAATGGTGTATATATTGATGAATTATCTTAGTTTATCTTAAAATAGCATTGTATCATTTCACCTATACTGTATACTATAAATAAAGAATCCTACTTCGTGGAAATTCATTTATCGTGGTAGAGTCTGGAACTGATTAACCGCAATAAACGAGGGCCAACTGTATGTATTGCATAAACTAGTAAACAAATTAATGAGCTAAATATTACCCCTTTAGGGAGTTTAGTTTTACAAGGAACAAAGAATATACACAGTTTATTCTAATAGAGAATTTGAACAATTAGTTTCCATGAATCAAAACAAGCAAGAAACAATGTCACAATTGATGAGATCAATAAATAATTCATTGAATAGGTACAACTTATCATGGAAGAGATGGCAATATGCGAATTTTTTTACTGTTTTCAATGATAACATATTATACATTTGTTTGTTAATACAAATAAAGAAAACCAATACTAGTGTTTGTCACAAATTATGTATTTAGTTATGTAAGCAGTAAAATATTGTCCATCATGATACATTATACTATTGAAAATATTTTTCTCCCCCAGGTTATCTCGTTTTTGGCTGCAGTTTTGCATAAAAAGGGAACTCGTGAGGATATTGAAAATAATATGCCAGAGTTTTTACTAAGAAGTCTGAAAAAGGAACCCCCTTCTTCTGTAGCAAAAAAGGTAAGATACCTAGGAGTATACAATAAATGAAACTGGTATTGCAAAAACACATAGAAAACTTTAAATATCACACATTATAGTCTCAATTTAAAACATAAGAATTTTAAAATACTATTAAAATATTTGTTTTATAAACCTAATTTTTGAAAGATTGCCAGTTTTAGTCTCAAGTTAAATATGACTGACTCTCAGAATGGCAAAATATAATTCCAGCTTGAACTCGTTTTGAGGTTTTAATGTTTTGCTTGGCTAGATTTATATGATTTAATTTGATTTGTTAAATATCCATAAATGTGCATGCAAAGTTAGTCGAAGTTCATTATGCTGTTTATATTTATGTGAGAATGAAAAGGAGGCAGTTGTAGATATTAGTAGCAAAGGTGCATCATTGATATTTAAAGTTGCTTGGAGAACTGCATTCCCAAAATTTGAAACAAATTCTTCTTATACAAGGAATATAAGAGTTGAAATCAGAAAGACTAAGGTGTAGCTAGGCTCATCTCTGTGTCTCTGCCCATGGGACTGTGAATACTATTCATATCCATATGTCAGCTTTCTCCTTTGTAAATTTATACTTCTAAATATCTAACACATGATTTTTGTAAAAAATAAGATATTTCTAACAAAATAATGAAATGCAAGAAAAGTGTACTATGTTTATATGTCTGATTTTTTTTTTTTCCCGAGGACTTTTTTTTTTTGTTCAGATAGAGTGGGAGGGAGAGAGAGAGAGAGAAACAACGATGTGAAAGGGACACATCGAGTGGCTGCCACCCACACGACCAACCAGGGCCAGGGACAAACTGCAACCAAGGTACGTGCCCTTAGCGGGAACTGAACCCGGGTCTCTCTGGACCGCAGGCGGACGCTCTAACCGCTGAGCCAAACTGGCCAGGGCTATATGTCTGATTTTTATATTCCTCTGCATCCAGGAAACTGGGTAGAATGAAGAAAGCGATTTTATGAAGTCTTTATTTAGTATTTATTATATTATGGTAATGAACCACTTTCTACAAGTTTTAAAAGAGTCTCTCAGACATAAGATTGCTAATAAGTCCAGGATTATTTTTGTGTATCATTAGGGGCTTTTCAGTACAAACTTTGGAGAAGTACTGACTTAAAGTATTATAATTATTATTACTTTAAATTTTCTTTATTATATTTAATAGCATAAATGAATCCTGAGCATCAAATTACATTTGATCCTATAAAAATTATGATTTCTAATGTGTTTTAAATCTCCAAGAGTCCAAGTACTGTTTTTAGCCCTGAACTCAGGGCTAAAATGTCAGTTGGCTTTAAATGTTAGTGCAGAACTTAACATATCTCTTTTTTTCTTTGTTTTTTATCCTCACCCGAGTAAATTTTTCTATTTTTTGTACAGATAGAGTGGGAGGGAGAGAGAGAGAAACATCGACATGAAAGGGACACATTGAATGGCTGCCACCTGCACGACTAACCAGGGCCGGGGACAAACTGCAACCGAAGTACATGCCCTTAGCGGGAACCGAACCTGTGTCTCTCCGGTCTGCAGGCGGACGCTCTAACCGCTGAGCCAAACCAGCCAGGGCTTAACATATCTCTTGTAGGTCACTTGTGACAATTAGCAGACAGAGGGGAGAGAAAAAATAGGGAAAGTAATATTTTAAATATTTTAGAAAGAACAAGAGTGGGAAAAGAAAATAAAGATTTTCTTTTTTTTTTTTTTTGCTTTTCATATTTATTTTTTTTAAAAATCCAGAATGGATCAAAAATAAGGAAAGAAAGATGTTCATTTGATGGTGTGATGAAATATGCTAGTAGCCACCTTAATTGACACTAATGGCTGCCTGTCTCCTTCCTCTCTCCCTCCCTTCTTTTCTTCCTTCCTTCCTCCCGTCCTCGCTTACTCCCTTCTTCACTTCCTCCCTTCTTCCCTTCCCTCCTCCCTCCCTCCCTTTCTTTCTCTTTGTCCACCCCCTTTCTCTATATGTATGTGTGTGTGTGTGTGTGTATAAATTCCTTGCTATAATATTCATTGCTATTTTTATACCTCCTTCAGTTAAATTCTTAATTCATTTACTGTATTTTCAATCATTTCTTGTATTCTAATAAATTCCACGAAGGCTATAAATGTTCCTTTGAGTACTTACTTTGGCTGCATTCCATCGTTTTAAATATGTAGTCTTTTCATTATTCTTTTGTAAATTATCTCGATTTTAGTTTTTGTTCTCTTTTACCCAAGTACTGTTGAAAGTTTAAAAATGTTCTAGTAAATACTTATTATTGGGTGGGTAAATGCTGGGAGGGCTTGGCCTTAGTTGTTGATTGCTTGTTTTGTTGCATCAGATGAGGATCCGATGCTGAACTGTATTTCTTCCCCTGGAAAGGAAATTTCCTTTTTTTTTTTTTAAAAAAGTATTTAGGACTTTCTTTTTATTCATGAAATTCAGAATTTCCCTCAGCCACAACATTCATTGTAGCATTCTTCTAAAAAAGTTCTCCTGCTCTAGAAAACTGTATGTATGTAGTACTTCGTACAGGGGAAGTGGAGTACTGATGCTAGAATCAGCTTCTCTAAAGGATATGACTGACACAGTTGCTCCCCCTTTAATTACTCTGCCATTTATTTCTTTCACAGTTTTCTTAATTTGTTTTTCCAATAGTTCAATGTTGGTATATAGAAACACAGCTGATTTTGTTGTTGTTGTTAATCCTCACCCAAGGATCTTTTTTTCATTGATTTTTAGAGAGAGGGAGAGGGAGAGAGCGAGGGGTTGGGGGGAGAGAGTGAGAGAGACTTTGATGCAAGAGAGACACATTGATTGGTTTCTTCCCACAGGACCCTGACCAAGGCTGTGAATTGAACCCGAGACCCTTTGGTCCGAGGGCAACGCTCTAACCACTGAGCCAAACTGGCCAGGGCCAGAGCTTATTTTTGTGTATTGATTTTGTATCCTGCAACTCTACTGAATTTATTTATTAGTTCTTACAAATTTTGGTAGAATCTTTAGTTTTTTATGTATAATATCACATCATCTACAAACAGAGACCATTTTACTTATTCCTTTTCAATTTGGGTGCCTTTATTTCTTTTTCTTACCTAATTGTCCTAGATAGGAGTTCCAGAATTATGTTGATTCAAAGTAGTGAAAGTGGGCATCTTTGTGTTGTCACTGCTCTTAGAAGAGAAATTTTCAGCTTTTCACTAATAAGTGTGATATTAACTGTGGGTTTGTCATACATAGCCTTTTTATATTGAAGTACAGTTCTTCTATACCCTATTTGTTGAGAATTTTTTTATAATTAAAGGATGTTGAATTTTGTCAAATGCTTTTTTTTTGCATCATATGCTCTTTATTTGCATCTGTTGAGATGATCATAAAAATTTTATCCTTCATTTTGTTACTGTGATGTATTACATTTATTGATTTGCATATGTTGAATTATCCTTGCATCCCAGGAATAAATTCCATTTGTTCATGGTGTGTGATGCTTTTAATGTGCTGTTGAATTGCATTTGTTAATATTTTGTTGAAGAATTTCGCATGTGTTCATCAGGGTTGTTAGCCTACATATTTCTTTTCTTGTCCTTATCTGGTTTTGGTATGCTGGCCTCATAAAATGAGTTTGGAAGGTTTCCTTCCACTTTTATTTTTTCCAAGAGTTTGAGAAGGATTGCTGTTCTTTAAATGTTTGATAGAATTCACCAGTGAAGTCTTCTGGTTCTGGATTTTTATTTGTTAGGAGATTTTTGGTTCCTGATTCGGTCTCTTTATTAGTAATCAGTCTGTTCAGATTTTCTATTTTCTTATGATTCAGTCTTGGTAAGTTACATGTTTCTAAGTGTTTATCCATTTCTTCTAGGTTATCTAATTTGTTGCCATATAATTGTTCATAGTGGTTTTTGATGATCCTGTGTATTTCTGTGTTATCAGTCATAATGTCTTCTCTCATTCCTAGTTTTATTTATTTCAGTTGTCTCTTTTTTCTTAGTCTAGCTAAAGGTTTGTCAATTTTCTTTATCTTTGTACAAAACTAGCTCTTAGATCTTTTCAGTTGTCTTTCTAGTCTATTTATTTCCCACTCTGACTTTTGTTATTCCTTCTATTAACTTTGGGTTTGATTTGTTCTTCTTTTTCGAGTTTATTGAGTTTTAAAGTTAGATTTTTTTATTTGAGATTTTTTTTTCTTAATGTGAGCCTCTATCTCTAAAAATTTCCCTCTTAGAGCTGCTTTTGCTGCATACCTTAAGTTTTGCTGTGTTGTGTTTCCGTGTCCATTTGTTTCAAGATATTTTTTTCCCTTTTGACCTGTTGGTTGTTCAGGAGCAAAGGAACAGATTGTTTAATCTCCACATATTTGTGAATTTTTCACATTTTCTCTTTAAATTGATTTCAAGTTTCATACCATGTGGTCAGAAAAGATGTTTGATATAATTTCAATCTTAAATTTATTGACTTATTTTGAGGCCTAACATGTTATCTACCTGTCTTTGTGTGCTTAAGAAGAATGTGTATTCTGTGGCTGGTGGAAGAAATGTTCTATGTCTGTCTGTTAGATCTATGTGTTCTATGTATACTTGAAGTCCAGTGTTTCCAACTGAGTTTCTGTCTGGATGATCCATCCATTGTTGAAAGTGGGGTATTGAAGTCCCTTATTATTGTATTGCTGTTGTTTTCTCTCTTTAAATCTATTATTATTTGTTTTATACATTTAGGTGTCCTGATGTTGAGTGTGTAAATATTTTAAATTGCTATATCCTCTTGGTGATATAATTATCTAATGATCTTCTTTGTCTCTTGTTACAGTATTTGGTTTAAAGTCTGTTTTGTGTGATACAAATATAACTAACTCTGCTTTTTAAATTTCCATTTGCATGGAATATCTTTCTTCATTACTTTACTTTTAATCTATGTGTCCTTTAAGCTGAAGTTAGTTTTAAGTAGGTAGCATACAGTTGGGTCTTATTTTGTTTTAGTTTTAATCCATTCAGCCACTTGATGTCTTTTGATTGGGCG